TTGGAGCCTGTCCTAGAACTAGCTCTATAGACCAGACTAGTTTCAAAGGCACAAAGATTCCACTGTATCTGCCTCCCAAGTGCTGGGATTTAATGTGTGTGCCACCACCATCTGGCCCCCATAGAAACTCTTAAAGAAGCCGTATCCTCCCTTTTTTCAGCTTTCTCAGGCCAAATGGAAATATAGCCCACATTAGTTTGCTAAAATGTTGTGACTTTTTTTTTTAATTACTCTTTTGTGGGCCAGTCATCCAGCTACAAAGCAAACCATGAAATAAAAGTAGGATTTACAAAAGTAAGAGAGTGGAAAAAAAAAAACAAGAGGCAAAAGAGAGACAGGTTAATTTAAGTTAAGAAGAACTGAAAAGAAACAAGACAAGCTAAGGTTGATCATTAATAAGCCTCCATGTATGATTTATTTGGGAGCTGGGTGGCAGGCCCCCAAAGGAGTAAGAAAACCAACAACACACAGGTAAGTGGAACTCAGTGAGTTAGAGGCCAGCCTGGTCTACAGGTGGCTTCCAGAGCAGCCAAGGCTACATGGAGAATCCATGTGCCAAAACACAGAAAACAAAAAAAGAAAGAAAGAAAGAAAAGAAGGCAGGCATCTTAAATAGCACTCAAAGTGTCCAGAGAGGCAGACATGCTTTGAGTCACATTCTTTTGGCCCTTGGCAGGCAACATCAAATGATCTGTGGGTCAGCAGATCCCTGGTCACAACAGCTGTTCCCATTCTGTCCCAAGGTTGTACCCTCCTGTAGCCTGGACAGGAGGTGAGCTGTAAGGAAAGCTGTCAGGATCCCCTGAGTGACACCAAGACCCACAGTTGTCATGGGCTCCCCAGGTAATCAGTCTGTTCTCTGTTGCTGCTCATGACCTAGGACTGCCAGGGCCTCCCTGCTGAGGAGTTAAAGATGCAGGAGGAGAACCCCAAGGGAGAGCAGAGAGTTCCCCAGTTCTGGGTCAGAGCAGCCTTCCTCCTAACCTTGTCTTGGGATGCATTCTCAGGAGTAACTTCAGCAATACCCAGTCTAAAAATTGGAAATCAAAGAGGGGGGAGAAACAGAGGGAACAGGAGGCAGGGAATGTGAAGATGGGAGGCAGGTCTAGCCCTCTTGGTGGCTCGCTCTCAGTTGATCCTGTGGCACTGTCCCTGAGGAGGGAGCCCACCCTGCACCAGCTCAGACACCCTTCTGTTCTAACTGCTTCAGCAGGAAGTTACTACACCCCAGAGACACCTTGCCCACAGTCCATCTATGTTACCTGGAGACTCTCACTTACTCTTACCTATTAGGGCTGAGTGTCCCCGTGTGTCCAGGCAGACCAGAGCCTGCTGCAGCCTCTCCCTGCACCCCATTAATCCCAACAGACCTAATTCCCATCCCCAAGCTGTGTTAGAGCACCTGCCCTGCACAGCCAGGACCAGAGTTTGTTTACCTGGTGTGTTGGTCTCAAGCCAGGCCTGGTTTTTCTTTTGTCATGTAAAAAAAATAATTTTGAAAAAGAAACACAGAAAAAGCAATAATAACAATAACAAAACGTCTGCTCAGAAGTGACTCTACCCAAGAACAGCCCCCTACACCAGCTCCTGACCCACACCAGTGTCCTGACCCTGTGCTCACTGTCTGCTTCCCTCACCTCTGCCGCTTAGACAGTCAAGTCATTTGCTCAGCTTGGCCAACACACACTGCACAGTAGGCATGTTAAAGAATGAGAGAGAAAAAACTACAGAGTGTGCACTTGGTCAGGACGCCAATAGAACTTCAATGTAACCAACTTATCCCACCCAAGGGTGTACACCCCAAGGAACCTCCATGCGTGCGTTAGAGAGGAGCTTGGGCATTCATGGCCATCGCAGCGTGATTCACAATAACGGAGACATGGGAAGAGCAGTCATGCACATCGACAGATGCATAGAGACAATGTGGTGCACATGACATAAAGATGAATGAAAGTGTGCCATCTGCAGGAAAATGGGTGGAACCATGGGGCATCCTGTTGAGCAAAATAAGTCAGATTTAAAGACAAATGTTGACTGTTTCTTTCAAATGTGGAACCTAGACCACACACACACACACACACACACACACACACACACACACACACTGTGTAAATGTAGAGGGGAAATATTAGCCAAAGACAGACTAATAACAGAAGGTACAGAGTGAATACAGCCAACACACATGATAAACTTGAATAAAATGGCATTTCAAAACTCTCCACTTTGGACAATAAATAGATGTTAATAACAGAGAGAAATCATGCAATAGAATAAGGAAGGGAGGAACCTTTAGATGTCGGATGCTTAGAGCATGCAGGAGGCCCTAGGGTCCACGAGGAAGGATACAGAGCATGTGGAGTCCGCAGGGTCAGTTTTCCCTTCTACTAAATGGGGCGGCCTGAAAAGCCTTGGCAGGTGCTGGGGTGTCAGACCCTGACGCATGAGGAAACCAGGGTCAACATGGAAGGTCCCACCAACCAGTGACCCCCGTATGCTGCTGATCTTAGCATGTCCATCACAGCAGGAGCCCTCTTTACTGACACTGATCTTAGTAGTGTGTCCTTGAAATGTGATTTTCAAACATGAGACACACCCTCCAGGTAATTTACAAAACAGCTCGTCCTCACTCCCTTCTCTTTAATACCATAACCTCCACATTGCGTGAGCAGGAACTGACCTCAAGTGACCTGGGAAGATTTGCAGTCATTACGATGTTGGTCTCTAACGGGAAGTTCATGTGTTCTGCTGGCAGTCGTGAATGAAGGCTTTACTGCTGGAACTGCCCCGTATGCTTCCTCCCTTCTTCTTCATTCTCCAATTCTTCCTCCTCCCTCTCTCTTCCCTGTCACTCAAAAAATGCTAGCTAATTCGATATTTAAGAGTAATTAATTGAATATTTCAGAGCAGGTAGTGATAGTGAGAATTTAATTTTGAACAATCTTTTTTAATGATTGATTTATTTTAATTTTATGTAAATTTGTCTTTTTCCTGCATGTATGTCTACGTGAGGGTGTTGGATCCCTGGTGCTGGAGTTACAGTTTGTGAGGTGCCTGTGGGTGATGGGAAATTGAACCCGGTACCTCTGGAAGAACAGCCAGTGCCCCAAACTGCTGAGCCATCTTTTCAGCCCTATTTTGAACATTCTAAAGTGAATGATAAAATTTTAAACTAATAGCATACTAATTTATCATGAAATATCATACTGTGTTACATACATACATACATACAATGACAATGGGACAATTAAAAACGAAAATTCAAAAATCACTTAAAATTATTGTTAAAAACTTTAATTCTGAATTAGTAGAGTGTTGGCATATATATGTGTGTGTATGTGTGCATATGTATATACATGGAATAATCCACAAATACTCACTCTTCCTGTCTTCTTTGCCTGGTATTGCCATATCCAATTCTTTTTAATGTTTTGGTTTTTTTTTTCACTTATTTTTCAAGACAGAGTCTCACTTTGTAGCTCTACCTCTCCTGGAACTCCCTGTGTGGACCAGCCTGTCCTGGAACTCATAGAGATCCAACTGCCTCTGCCTCCTGAGTGCTGGGATTTAAGGTGTGCACCACCATGCCGGCCTGTATTTGCTTTTTAAAATTCTTCTATTGGCTCTGAGACCACTCACTCATTTACTCAGTACAAGTTAGTTGTTAAAGCTGACGTCACTCACTTTTGTCATTGCTGTAAATAATGAGAGCAGATTATCTCACTAACAATAGTGTATATTATGGTTCATCCTGGAAGGGAGGCAGGGTGGGCAGCCCACATCATGGCACACAAAAGGCAGTAACGTGAAAGGGCCAAGACAAGACGGCAGTCAGCCCCAAAGACACATCAGCTGCCCTCCTGACCCCAGCCAGGCTTTACTTCCCAGGGTGCCCCAGCTCAGTCTTTGAACCACTCATGCACTCAGAGAACTTAGGATCTATTATATCTGGGAACTCCCCCACAACTCACCCAGAGAAGGGCTACTGATCTTCCGGATATTTATTAATCCAGTGGATTGAAATTCAGGATTAAGAACAAATCATTCCAGTGACGAAAGTCAAGTTTGGGGCTAGAGAGTGTCTCAGTGTTTAAGAGCACTTGCTGCTTTTGCAGAGGACATGGGTTCAGTTCCCAATGCCCACATCAGGTTCACAGCAGGCTGTTAGAGATGCTCCAGGGGATCCAAGACCCTCTTTGGTCATCACACACACACACACACACACACACACACACACACACACACACACACACACACGGTGCATAGGCATAAATACAAGCAGGCAAATATTCCTATACATGAAATGAAAATTAAGGGAAAAGGTCGAATTCAAGGACTGGGCCACAGGCACACAGTAGATGGATGCCCTCACTAGACGCTCCTTCTTCCTGGGGATGAGAGACTCACTTTCTCACTGTTCTGAGCTGAAAACCATATGTGTCTCTGCAAAGCACCATGACATCTCCCTGGTATTTCAGTCTTCTCGGGATGCCATCACAAAGTGACACTGGGTAGGTGGCTTAAAGAGAAAAGACCTCTTCTCTCACTGTTCTGGAATTCAACATCCACAATCAAAGTGTGGCAGATTGGTCTTGGGGAGCACTCTCTTCCAAGTTGGTAGAGGGAGCCACACCCTGTTCTAGCCCAAGGTCTCTCTGGAGAGAAGAGAGCCAAGGAAAGGGAGAAAGGGGAGGGTGGGGTAGATAGAGAAGGAGGGAATGGAGAGGGGGAGCATCTTCTGGCTGCTGTGAGGACACTAACACTCTGGGTCAGGGACCTCACTCACAACCTCACTTGCTTCCTTATCTATCTCCAAATATCCTGGGGATAGAGCTTTAACAAATGAGTTAAGGGACACAGCTCAGTCTCTACTAAAATACTAATTACACTAGAATATACCTGAAGGGACGGTTGCTCAAAACACATTATAAAACCTAGCTCCTGAAGCCATTCAAGCTCTCCAGCATGCTCCTCTAACCATGTTCCTTTTCCTTCCCATCTAGAGGGGAAAGGCTTCATCATGTCTGTGGTTGAGTACCTCTGGGACACATGGAGCAAAGTGGCCCTGCAGCTCCTGCCAACTAAAGATGGATTCGGAAAACAACTTGTGAAAAGAGCTGGTTTGTCCAGTTTCTCTCCATTTAATTTGATGTTGGCTGTTGGCTTGTTGTTTATTGTTTATGTTATATTTAGGTAAGTTCTTTGTATTCCTGATCTCTATAAAACTTTTATGATTTAGGGGCAGTGGATTTTGTCAAGGACTTTTTCACCATCTAAAAAGATGACCATGTGTTTTTGTCTTTCTGTCTGTTTATGTTGTGGATTACATAGACAGATTTTCTTATACTGAACCATCCCTGCATGTAGGGATGAACCCTACTTGTTCATGATGAGTGATTGTTTAAGTGTTCTAGGATTCAGTTTGCCAATATTTTATCTAGTTTTTCCATCAGTGTTCTACATGGAGACTCTTTCATTGTTGCATCGCTGTGTGGTTTGGGTTTTAAGATAACAGTAGCCTGATAGAAAGAATTCATAGCTTTTCTATGTGGACTCTGGAACACAGAACTCAGGTCTATGTGTTTGTATGGCAAACACTTTAGCAAATTAGCCACATCCTAAGGGTGCATCTAGCTATTAAGGGAGAATTGTCTGCTGTCCTCAAGACATAGCACAGTCACATGAGAGTTCGCACGGGTGACACACACTAAGAAAGATGCCTTGGTAGAGAAGCCGTATTCTGACACAAGTTAGCAGTCAGGAAGGAGCTGGGCTGGGCTGCTGGTCTAAGGGAAAAAGACAGAAGGGCTCTGGATGTGCATTCAGCTGGGACTCTGAGAGACAAGCTGAGTGAGGGGCAGTGGTTAGCAGGGAGCAGGGGCACTGTGAAGCTGACCTCATGGCAGTCCTCCTGAGGGAGGTCAAGACTAAGACAGCAAAAATTAAACACAGAAACTTGATTGAGTATTGAGTATCAAACGTAGGGCAGTTTAACAACTGACTTAAGATTCTTGACAAGTCTGGGCAGGGAACACCAACCATCGCAGAAAAGGCAAGGAAAGCCAAGATCAAACCACACTATAAAAGTAGTTTAGAAAAGTTTAATAAAGTTGACTCAAGGGAAATGTTTATCCACATAAGCCTCAGTGTCCAGAAGTTTGTTGGGCCTTGATCATATACACAGACCCCAGGAGAGACCTGGGATCTTCCTCCTTCCTGGACTCCATGACTTTAGTGTCTAGATCCTCTGGAGATCAGAAATGACAGTGATATCCCACCACACATCACCTTTCTCAGGCTGGGAATTCATCTTTCGAAGAGCTAGGGAGCCTACATGTTGTGTTTTCTCAGTTTTGCCTGCCGTGGAAACACTTGCAGAGGCACAGTGAGGTGCCTTGGGGATGGGACCCACATGAAAATGGGGACCCACTCGTGGTTCTTTATCTTCTGCTCACAGCTGGAAGGGAACTTCGTGTACTGTGTTTTGAGTGGAAGGGTCTTAGCTGTGAGCGGCCCCAGCAGCTCAGGTGTACACACAGCTGCAGTGCAAACATACAACCAGCTTCAAAGGATGTCCTGTGCAGGGTTTCTCTCCCAGGGGTGTGCAATTGACACACTCTCAGAATCCAAGTCCCCAAGCAAATGTGGACATCCCAAACCAGCAGGTCGCTGTAGGGTAGACAGGTCAGTTCCCAGTAGCTGATGCCAAGAGGAGGTTTTTTTATTGGGGAAAGTGTACTCTTTGGAGAACACTAACTTTCCTAACATGCAGGGTATTTTTCTCTAACCTCACTTCTTTGTGTTTTAGAGTTCCTACAGAGAACTATGTTCGTAGTGGTGACATTGGCCTTGAGGGAAGGTCATCTTTATTAAATGTCTAGCAATAAAAATGTGTGGTAAATGACTAGAGATGACTCAGGAGTTAAGAGCACTTTGTGCTCTGCCAGGTAGCTGAAGTCCAGTTCCCAGCATCCTCATGATGGCTCACAACTGCCTGTAACTGTGGGTCTAGAGATCCAATTTCTTCTTCTGCCCTCCATGGCACCAGGCCTGCAGATGGTATGTACACACACACACAAACACACACACACACACCTGCAGGCAAAACACTCAAACAAATAAAATAAAAATTTTAAAGGACACATTAATATGGTTTTAAACTCATTGTGTCCTTAACAATTAAATATTGTGTGGTGGATCCAACCCACTCACCAATGCAAGAATGACATTATACAGCTGTATGACTCTCCTCCATTTCATTCACAGCAGATACAGGACAGATCTTTCCAAACTCTCTTCCTCACTGAGTTAGTTGGTCTCTTCCTTTACAGAAAAGTGAAAGATGCCTCACGTGAGAAGGAAAGGTTTCTGGAAGTTTATCCTCAGATGAAACGGGAGCTTGAGGAGAGCATCAGGATTCTCAATGCCCATGCAGACAAGATTGACAAGATTCACAAGGGCTGCACCATCACACAAGTGGTGGCCAAGTCCACCGGTGCTGTGTCTGGGGTCCTGACAATTCTTGGTTTCGCTCTGGCACCTGTGACAGCAGGAGCCAGTCTGGGACTTTCAGCCACAGGTATGGGACTTGGGGCAGCAGCGGCTGTGACAAGTTTTTCCACAAACCTTGTGGAAAAGGTAAGCACAGCGTCAGTAGAAGCTGAAGCCAGACAGCTTCTGTCAAGAAGCAACGACACTGAGAACGACATTAAAAGCAACGACACTAAGGACATTACAGAATCTTTGGAAAATATTACCACCAGGCTTGTTTCTGTATCTAAGAAATTTGTTAAGAATGTGGATGACATAAAGAAGAACATGGATGCCATCAAGCTGACCAAAGAAAACCCTCAGCTGAAAAATAATGCCAAGCGTCTAATGACCACAGGAAGGCTGTCAGCCAAAAGCACTGAACAGGTGGAGAAAGCCTTTGGAGGCACTGTTCTGACAATGACCAAAAAGGACCGGATCATGAAGGCAGCCACTGCAAGTCGCTCCCTAGCGCTAGATATAATCAGCATCATAGAAGACACAAAGCATTTGCAGGAGGGTGCGAAGGCAGAGTCAGCTGAAAAGCTGAGGCAGAAGGCTAAGGACCTGGAGCAGAAGTTGCAGGAGCTCATCCGGGTGCATGACAGCCTGATTCAGTGACCCCTTCTTCAGTGCAGCTCAGAGGACTGGGGGTGGGGTGTGCTGGACAGAGCCATGGACACTTGATGGCTCTGAATGTATCCCCTTTATACCAATGCCATAACAGTGATAGTGTCTGCTGGAGGAGAGGCCACATTAAGAGAAAGGAAACCAGAACACAGAACACAGATGGGACAGGCTTGTTCCTCTCACTAGACTCTACCTCCCTCTTAGATTTAACAACCTCCAACATCCCACACAAGGACCATGGTCCCAAGCTGGGGAGCACACCCAAGGCCTGACTAAGCCACAGCATGGCTGCTCCCCAGTCACACCCCCCACACTGCTCCTAACAGAGGTTCACCATCCTCAAGTCCACCAAGCTGCCAACTTTCCCACTGCTTTCTGATTGCTTGCATCAGATTTCTCCTCCTTCCTAGTTCTGCCTCATTCTGTTTTTTTTTCCAATTATTTCCCAATCTTACTATCAGACTTTGGGTGTGAACCCCATTTCCCAAGTTCTGAACACCTAAGACAGAGAGCCGACCTGTGTACTTCCTGGGTCTTGTCTGTTAGAGGAACATTCTTGTGTCCCACAGCCCCTCTGTCCTTCCTTGGAAGGGATGTCTGGCTAAGGGACAGCTGGATGTGGACAAAGCCCTCGCCCTGGGGGTGCAGAGCAGTAAGAGAACTGTGTACCATAGCTCTTCCAATGAATGATCACTTTAGGTGTCCAGTACCCAGAGAGCTCCCTGCAGCTTCCAGTCCATGGCTACTTCATCTCCATGGTTCTGCCCACCAGGAACACACCTTCCTTTACAAAGGAGACAAACAAGCATGGTGGGTGTCGGTGAGAATGGACACAGTCCACTGGCACTTCTCATAGATAGAGCATTACTTCATGGGTGGTGAAAGTATTCTAGTAGGTAGCAGCATATTTTTAAAATAGAGATACATTTAAAAACAAAACGAATTTATGTGATGTAATAATGTATCTTAGGTGTTAGAAGTGCTCTTAGCAAAAGAAAAGGCTATGGAAAGAGACCAGTGAGGCTCAGAGATGAGTAGAGGCCCCAGAAAGGGACAGGGGAGATGGACAGGGTGAAGGCAGGACAGAGTAGAGGAGGGGCTGTGACCAGGTCTGTCCCTGCTGAACACAAGTGACAGGCAACAGGACTGTGCCTGCAGCTGCTGCCACTGGAGGGGTCTATGTTCAGTCCAGGCACCAGGGGTGTCCTGTATGTGGGGAAGATAGGATGATCCTCATGATGGACTGTGACTCCTCAGCCACAAAAAGGGAAAGACTCATGGATCCCACAGCATTTAGATGGCTGTCACTGGCACGTGCTCAGTCAACACAGAGTCAACTTTAATGTGCGTGACATCTGAACCCAGTTATAGAGATAAACTATTGAAATGGAAATGATGGATGAGGAGGAGAGTTGGGCGGTTGTCCTGTGTACAGGATTATCAACAGGGCGTCACTTTAAAGTGATAGACTGTTCTTTACCTGATTGTCACAATGGCTCTATGAACCCATGTCTCTGATGAGTAATCAAGAACCCTGTAAGCACATGGACATGAGTGCAGTCATAGCGAGGACACTGAAGTGTGTCCTGAGGTCAAGCTCACTGGGCAGGCATGGCAAAGGAAAGCTGTTTACCACATGGAAGCCAGGAACAACAAGGAGTGACAGAAGGGGACACAGACAAGAAACAGCATTCGATGACATTTTCCGAGTGACCCATGGTCCCTAAGTGTAGCCCACTTCCTAATAGACTCCATAATTCTACTCATTCAGTAAGTTAAACCACTGAGCAAGTCAGAGCCTTCCAGAACAATCTCTGCAAATTCAGACACAACCAGAGACAAGCTCTATTAACACACATGCTGTCTGCAGTTTAACCAAGGGACAATCATGATGATATTTTACAGCTCACCTTCTTCCCTGCTATTTCTCCATGAGGAGTTCAGTGCAATGCGAGGAAAAATGTAGAAGATTTAAGAACTCAGACAAGTTTCAGGATGAACTCATAGATTTAGTTGATCTTCTGCTCCCTTCTGGGTGGAGTGTGATGGTGGCCTTGTTCCAATGCTGTCCACATGACAATAAGAAAAAAAAACGCAAATGAAAGGGAAGTGGCTGTGGGCACTGCTTACCACAGAATGCCGTCTACAGAGTGGGCAGTGATGCCATTCTGAAGAAAGATCTCAGTAAGCCTAGGGATTACTGTTGTGAAATCCTCAGGAAGCAGAGCAAAGTGTCAGTCACCCAGTTGGTTCCAGGAAAGAGGATTAATGTAGACAGAGGAAGTGTGCACAGTCGGGGTCTCCTTCCCACAGAGCTATGAGCCATAGCATGGGGGTCCACACCTAGGTACTATATTACCTCCACTGATATTAACTATTAAGGCTGCTACACACTGGTCCTTCCCCCAGATGCTAGAACATTGCTATCATCTCTCCCATGTGCCCATTCAATTCCCTCTCACGGCCACAAGTCCAACTGATGAACTTTTCCCTGGATCTAAATAGGACAGGAAGCCATTCTCTTGGCTAGGATGCCCACAGCTGTCAGGACCACTTCTAACGTCAGTTAATCATGTGAATTTTGCGAGTTCCTTACCACTTCCCACCTAAGTGTCATTGCTACTGCTGTTTAATGTAAGAGGAACAGGAACACGACGTGGAGTGCTCAGAATACGGCCAGCACACAGTAGGTGCTCCTGAAGTTAACATTAAAAGCCAGGTGTGAGAAAACCAGAGTCAAAAGTCTTCCTGTAAGCAAGAAGACTCAGGAACTCATTTGGGGACAAGTCAGAAAAGTGAAGACACAATCAAGCTATGTCCCCAGGTTCTATCTCGGTCACTTTCCTCCCACCTGAGAATCTGTAACAACAGCAGGATCCTCTGGATTGGGGAGGCCGAGAGCCCACAGTACAGCTGAACAGAGCTGGGCTGACCCTGACTGTCCCTACTGAGATCTGCAGCCCCAGGTATGCTCCATAGGAATGGGAATGCAGGCTGATAGGACGTGGTGGTGACAGCCTAGGATGAGCTGCTGGTCAGGGTTGGAAAACCAAATACCAGCTCCCTTCCCAAAGCCCAGAGAGTCCAGTAGCAGTGTCGTAGTCAGGGTTCAGGAGATACTGTGAGTGACCCTACATAGGAGATGTAGGTAGAAGGCTGGGAAAGGAGGGCTGGAAGGAAAAGGGGGGATTGACAGGTATCTCTCAGAGCAGACATGGCAGAAACTGCTGGAACCTTGTAAGCCCTGCTTCTGAAGGCATGCCCAACTGCAATGGATTTCCACTCCAAGAACCCTGTGCAGGGGCTACATAGGGAACTAATTAAACACTGTTGTTCAGTCCACAAAAACAGTAAGAAAGCCCAGGTTGGGGCTGGAAACTGCAGAGCACTGGCTGGGTCCAGGCCAGACAGTGAAAAATAATCCTGAGCTCTCCAAATGTCCGTGTGCTGCTTGTTTCTTTGCTGAACAGTTTCTGCACAGCAGCACATTTGGGCCTGGTGAGTGCAGACAGATTTTATCAGAAGCCAAACAGTTTGAGGTGTGTAGTGTCAACACATTTGACGTCAAAGGACAGGTTTTGACCTCAACTCAAAGGATGAAGGCACTATCTTCTAACATGGTAATATGAACCGATCCTGGGGAGCCCCCAAGGGGGGAATTGAGCCCTGACTCCCTCAAGCTGTTCTCTGACACCCCTAAGACTGTCATGGCACCTACCCGCTGCCTATAAAACACACACACACACACACACACACACACACACACACACACATGCACTGAGTTAATAAATGTAGTTAAATATCTTATTTTAAAAGATGCTGAGATTATCTGAAGTTGAAATAAAGAAGAAGACACAGCCCGTGAGTCTCAGCTTCTTCCACAGCTGGGAATGGGGTGTTGGCCAAGACGATGTCTCAGGTCACCTGGCTTTGACTGCCTGGTGCTCTGTAGACTTGGGATGAATAAATATCATTTTCTGCTCAGGAAAAAATGGAAGAGGGGGCTGGAGAGTTGGCTCAGTGGTTAAGAGCATTGCCTGCTCTTCCAAAGGTCCTGAGTTCAATTCCCAGCAACCACATGGTGGCTCACAACCATCTGTAATGAGGTCTGGTGCCCTCTTCTGGCCTGCAGACATACACACAGACAGAGTATTGTATACATAATAAATAAATATTTAAAAAAAAATGGAAGAAACAGTCAACCACACAAAAGAAGGTGCCATGGGATAAAGAAATATAAATGACATGTTGGAAAGCCACCTACTGTAGTCTTTTTGTGGGGCTATGGTACACTGGAGGCTAAAACCTGCGGTCGCTGCCTGGTAGGCGGCATTGTCAACACTGCAGTTGGTGTTTCTGTCTGACTGTGGGGACTGGGCTTGGGGTCATTGCAGACCCAGGCACTTGCATCTCCCTATGTCAACTACAACAGAGCAGGAGGAATATGGGCAACATTTTTGAAATATTTGAGGCATAATGTCATGCCAGTGACACCAGCCAACCTTCTCTCTGGTGAATAAGGAAGGAGTGGTGACCTTGCCCCATTCTGCAGAACTGCCTGGTGAGATGACTCTCATGACATCTTGCTTCTCTCCTCCCCACTCCTATTTGGGCACCATTGAACTTGCAGCTGGATCCCCTCTATATTTAAAGCTCACTGGCACCATCCTCAGGGCTCAGGAGGAGTTTTGAAGATGAGCCACAGGCTCTGTGTCAGTCACTAGATCCTGTCTGAACTGGAATCACAGAGCTACTGCGGTCCCTCTGTAGATACACCTGCCATCCCTGATCTGCATATGTGTGTCAAACTGAGGTGAGTTATCTGTATTTTGTCATGGAAATAGGGTAATTGTGGGTTACACGCCATCCTCTACATACAGTTCCTCTACGATCCTTCTTGAAGTTGGCACTTGTGATTTGGGCTCTGCTGTCTCATCTGAGCAAAGACAAAAGTAGGCTTCTCGGATTCAGGCAGTCGGCTAGACTCAGGGCTGGGGGCAGTCTCAGCCTATTCTGTTTCCCTGTGGTCACTCAGAGTTGTGAACAAGGGATGTACTTCTCTTCCCTGTTTTTGAAGACCTGGAATGTTTATCTCTTGAGGGACTTCAGATGCCCCATTTCACATAGTCAGTTGAAAGACACCTGTCCCTACTATGTGATGTCCCTAGAGAAAGGGAGATGAGGAGAGAGGTGGACCCATGGTTTGGGTACCTAGTACAGTGTCCAGCATGTTTGAGTTGAGCATACTCCCCATGGTGTGGACTGGATGGTTGTAATAACCAGGAAGCCCAGATCCCATGGCTGCAGACCCCTCTGAGGTCCACTAGGTGGTGCTGGTGATCACCCTCTTCCTCCCAAAGCCATCTCAGGGTTGCTTCCCATTACATTAAGGCCACACTCCCAATGGCTGCAGTTGCATCTGGAGCAAAGGTCTTTTTGGCATCCCCACTTCTGGAGTGACGTCCACACTGGATGACATTTCTTGTCATACTACTGGTCTGTGATCCATTTTTTAGTATTATCTTCAGGATGTCCAGTTGGGATGGGCTCTCCTTGTTTACCTGGAGGTTGATGTCCTTAATTCTCTCTTTCAGGCAAATCTGTAGACTGTCCTATTGTTCCATGTTGACTCTCTTCACGAGTGTATTAATGTTCTGGTTCATTCTATGCTCTGCTCGGAGATCCCCTTCCAGGCTGTCACTCAGTTTTCTGGGGACATTTTAATGATCTACACCTGACTGCGAATTTCTCACTGTCAGGATAAACCCTTGGTGATGGAGGGAAAAGAGACAGAGCAGGGGAGTGTGGAGAAAGAGCGTAGCAAAAATAACTTTACATTTTATAATTCTATTGGTTCTCTCTCTCTCTCGCTCTCTCTCTGTCTCTCTCTCTCTCTCTGTGTGTGTGTGTGTGTGTGTGTGTGTGTGTGTGTGTGTGTCTGGTTGTCTCTGTGTGCTCCACTTGTGTGCAGTGCCTACAGAGATCGTAACAGACTGTCAGCTCTTGTGGACCTGGAATTACAGGACCTGGATGTGGGTGCTGGGAACTGAACTACCCAGACTCCAAATAACCTCAAGGTAGAAAGTATGGTCACAAGAGTCTAATGTCTGATGGTAAATCTTGGCTTGGGCTTGGCAAGTCTCTGAATCCTGAGATTTAAGCCATTACCTCTCCCAGTAGCTCAGTATTCTCAACAGAAAGTCACAGCGCTCCCTCCATATGAACACAATTACTGCTGTCTGTTATAAACCAGGAAAGAGCTGGATAATAAGGATGATGAATAAACTCCAGTCCGATGTGGAAGTAAGCGTGCTGGCAGCAGTAGTGTGGAGAGGCCATGTCACCTGCTATCCTTCTCTCAAGAGTGAGGATGGCCACCAAGCTCCAAGGACACATGACTGGAATGGCACATGTTCTGACACAAGGGTCAGTTGGCCAATGAGGTCCAGCCTTGTTTAAACCCCATGCGGCATAGAGCAAAGCTGAGATATTCCACAGTCATCACCACCTGTTGTAGACTCAAATTTCCTGTCTGCAGTGGGCTTCGGATCCCTAAGCAAGGACTCATGGGAGCCAATCTGGGAGCCAGAGAGTCTGCCGTGAAAGCTGCTGGGCTTTCTCAGAGGTTCTGTGTGGTGGATCTGAGCACAGAGCACAAACATGAGGCAAAAGTATCCACATAGGCAGGGGGCTGCGCACCGTGCCTGCCACCATCAGCAGCGCTATCCTCTTCAAATATCAGGGACATTCTGCTGAAGTGCAGAAGGGGATGGGAAGGGGGTTGCTAGAACACTGGGGAGGCTTGCCAGAGCAGCAAGGGGCTGGGGTGATCTGTGGAGGGCTCCCCAGTTTGTGGTGGTGTGTCCTCCCGCCATGGGGAGCCAACCAGAGATGGGTTGGCCAGAACAGAATTGGGAGTGTTAAGCTGAGGTCACTCTGATGACTCAGCAAGGTGGGCAGGGCTGTGGGTGGCACCCTCCAAGTGTCCATTCCAGTGTGTTGATTGGATCAGGGCTGCCCAGGTGAGACTTTTGCTTTCCATTTCCCAGCTGGGTCCATCAGGCCAGAGGCTGCTGCTCCTTCTGACTCAGATGTGCAGCTGTGACCGGACCTACACAGCTAAGGACATCTGAGTCCTGAACAAACTCATCCCTGGAGAGACTCCTTGGTAAGCTGAGCCTCTTTGGCTGCTCTACCTCCTCGTCCTCACAGTTTTACCTGGGGAAAGAGGGATAATTGCCTCATTGTAGGGATGAACCCAGGCATCATTGCTAGCCCAGAGTTCATCCAGGCTGGCGTGGGGCTCTTTCTCTCTGCACTAAACACGAGAAAGGATGGGCAAACCCTCAGATGGGATCAGCATGTGGTCTGGGGCTCAGCTCAGGGGCTAGGATGCTAGGGTCAGGACAGCAGACTCCTGACAGAAAGCAGATTATGGTGTCCAGCAGCTGGGGAAATGGAGAAACTGAAGGATGTGGAGGAGGGCAGGAGACTCAGAACTCGCTGGTCTTTGATAGCATCCTGACAGTGGACCAGGACTGTGGCTGCCTAGACCAGCTGGGGTCAAATGTTGACTTGGAGGTACAGGAAGCCTGGAGACTGAGCCACAAGCTGTCTCTGAGTACATATCTCTGTCACACCTTGGGGAAACTGAGGACCTAGGGAGTGGGTTTTGCTGAGGAGTCTGTGAAGAGGCTGAGCAGGTGGGTCACAGACCTGACCTCACTGGGCCTCCCCGGACCTCTGTCCAGTCTGTAGGGGATGGAGGAGAGAGAAATGGTTCCCTGTGTATTAGCTGGGGGAAGGGTGTCAGTGTTGGGGCAGGAAAGGAAAATGTGAACAATCAGGTAAACAACTCACTGAACTGTGTGTTAATCACAAGGTCAAAGATCAGACTTCAGGTGTGTGTAGAGGGAGGGGTTTTAGTCCCCTGTGCCCATCGAAGAGAAGAACATTCTAGAAACATTGGAGGATAAGAGGCAAAGAGGAAAGAGAGGATAATTAAAAAGCAATCACTCATTACCCTTTAATGATGCCATGTCCTCAGAGATTAGTGACTCCGTGTCCAATAAATGTCTCCCAGAGCCCAGATCAGGGGCACTGAAGGCTTGGGATGACAGTACCTACTTAGATGGTTCTGGAGCCTTTATTGGGCTACTACTCAGAACATGGGTGACATTTGATCTGAACCAAGACTAATGGAGAGAGTTGCCCAGGAAAGCTCCTCAGTCCACAGAAGGAATGCAGAGCCAGCCAGAAAGAGGAGGCCTAGGAGATTTCAGTGGGTGGAGCATGCAGGCATCTTATGGGGAGGAACAGGCTAGGGTAGGCCTGAAAAAAATGGAAGTTGGGCTTGAGGGAATTAGCAGGAGGGACTGAAACAGGCTGGGGGCCTCTGTGATAGGTTCAAGGTCCTGAACCTGACCCTGGGAGAGAATTACAGATTCTCTCAGAGAGGAGCATAACTCACCCCTTCTGCCCAAGTGAAGAAGTCAGCAGACACCTGGAGATGCTGTGCTGAGAGCCCCTGCTCAGCCATATTTGGAGAGTTGGAACACTAATGGAGGGACAGAGGGGCTCAGCCTGGGACATCAGTTGGCCAGGAGCACAAAAGGACAGGATCATTCTCACACCCCCTGAGGCACACCTAGGGATTCGACCACCCATGAGACTTAGTGTCCTGCTGGCCAGAAGGAAGGCTTGTTGCAGGTAGAAGAAAGACAAAATTTTATATATTAATTATTTTGTGGTACTGGGCATGCTTGGCCAGGAGCTCTACTACTGAATCATCTCTCCTACCCAGATTCACACAGAAATATAAGACCCACATTGCAGACACTTTACCCATGAGTAGTGTCTCCTAAATTTCCAACTTTTCAGCTGACAGCCTCTGAGGTCCTGTACCTGTCAAGCAAGAAGGAGAGGATTGCCAACAATTTCCCTCAGGCTACCAGAGATATCACCAAAGACCTGGAAGCCCTTGAGCAGCTGGGGTTGCACTCAGGCTGGTTAGAGCTAAACCCACTTAGAAGATGCCAGTATTTGCACAAGCATGGGAAGGCTCCCAACCCAGCATGCTAGTCAGCTGAGGACTATCTTGAGAAGAACCCCCCTGGCCATGAGCGATGAAGCCCGCAGCAGGAGTTCCACCAGTGCAGGTGTCTCTCTTGCGAGATGTTGACAGCCTTGCAAAAAAGTCAAAGCATCTGTATGAAGGGGCACAGTCAGAGTCAGCTGAAGCTCTCAGGGAGCTGGCTGAAGAGCTGGAGGAGAAGATGGGGAAGCTCGCCAAATTCTACACCACTCTGATTACGTACCAATTGATTGCCCCATAACCCAAGACGCAGGGCCAGAGGAAAGGACCTGGAGAGAAATGGGGACAGTGAAGACATTGTTACAGGGGAATAAGGTCCAGTCAAGTCCATGGGACAGAGATGCCGTCCTATGGCTGATCATGGCAGGTTAGTGTGCATAGCAGTGGCTCAAACGCATCCAACTGGAGCCTGAAACAGGGACCAGAGAATGTGCCAAAAAGGGACTGGATAGAGCGGCCTCTGGAGTACACGTGGAAGAAGCTAGTTATCACAAGACTGGAAAACCCTCCCCATCTCAGCTACCAAAAACAAAACACGAGAGAGAAGAAAGCCACAGAGTTCAAACCAAATAGAAGTCACAGAACAGAAACCCAAGAGAAGGTGTGTGCTATGTAGATACGCCATGAGGTCCCAGCACTATACTTTAGAGCCTGTGCCTTCCCCAGCTCCCCGGCGCACACCTGTCCTCAGGCACATTTTCATCCCTTAGATAAACTATTCCTGCTGTAATGGCCTCACCATGGGTTTCGTTCAGTTATTTGTTCTAGGACATGAAAACCTGGAAGATTCAGGAGGTATCCTGACTCTCCATGTTTCCTCTCAGCTGCTGCAGAAGCCAGGGGTTCCCAAACTCTTCATTAACAGGGACAGGAGGTGCAGTGCTGTTCCCCCCTTCCTGAAGCTCTAGGACACCACAGGAAACCTCTCTCAGGAAGCTCCATGTGTTGGAGGCACTTCTCCCTTCCTGCCTTTCCCTTCTGTGTTTTCTTTCTTTCTGTAGATGGTGCAGCCAGGGTGAACAGTGTGAGTGCTCCCTCTCCTCCAATTGGGGCAGTAAGGGAACTGATGCCAGACAACGAAGCACAGGAATTGACAGCGAGTCCCAGGCCTGAGCTCAGGGTTGAGAGGCAGCTGCTCATTGCTGTTGTCAACAAAAAACACAGCTCTCACCTCAAAGGGGATAAGATGTAATTGATTGTGGAGCCAAATAGGACTGACCATGGCTCAGGAAGACAGATTTAGATGACCCCAAAGTTCATTTTCTGATATAGTAATTATTTTATGGCTCTTTTATTTAAGAAAACAAAGACAGCCATAAATGAACACATTCCCAAGACATTTGTGGGAATGTCACAGAGGTGGTTACAGGTCTTGGAGGTGATCTGCTGAAGTTCTTAGCTTGTTGGTGGTGGAAGTTAAAGATTTGCTAAGTTAATGCATCCCAAACCGATTTTATCTCTTAGCCACAGAATATTGATTCCAACAAAGACATGGAAAGAAACAGATATTCAAGGGACTAAAGACAGTCAGAGTCAAAGTGTCATTAGGTCAGGATCTGCAACATCCCAATCTCTCCGCAGGTATTGAAGTTCTCCTTAGCTCCTTAGGATCTTAGAAGCCTCAGTTGGGATTCCTTCTGGACACTTTCATTTACACCTGTTTTGTTGCTACTGACCTTGGAGTCAGGGTCTGTGCCCCAAGAAGCCAGGTAAAGGGTTGGGGAGAAGTTTGTACACAGAAAAGGCACAGAACCAAGCAGAGATGGGGAGTGATCCATGGCGGGTCCCGCAGTCAATGGTAGCTAAGACCACAAAGATTCATCAAGTACCACTAGATGAGAAGGGTCTGAGGTCGCTCCTCCGAGTGGGTATTAGAGAAGACAAGAATGAGGGTAGCAGCTAGTGTGTGGTTTGTCTGGAATGTCCACTGGATCATCAGCAGTCAGAATGTGTGTGACTCCACTTGCCCTTCTCGGACTTGCCTCTGTTTGTGACTCAGATACACAGCTGGGGACTGGACACACTGCTAAAGGACCACTGTGTCCCATCTAACTCAGTTCCATAAGTAGGGAAATACTTGCCCATGCCCACAGCTGTGGAGGAGGGCCACTTGTTGGTTCCCGGCCTTACAGCTAGCTTAGACCCAAAATAATCACACAGAAAGTGTATTAATTAAATCACTGCTTGGCCCATTAGCTCTAGCTTCTTACTGGCTAACTCTTACAACTGAATTTAACCCATTTCTATTAATCTGTGTATGGCCACGTGGCTGTGGCTTACTTGCTAAAGTACCCAGCATCTGTCTCCGGCGGCTCCATAGCTTCTCTCTGACTCCACCTTTCTTCCTCCCAGAATTCAGCTTATTTTTCCCCACCTAGCTAAATTCTGCCATGCTATAGGTCCAAAGCAGTTTCTTTATTCATTAATTGTAATCACAGCATACAGAGGGAAATCCCACATTAGCTCCCCTTTTCTGTTTAAACAAAAAGAAAAGTTTTAACTTTAACATAGTAAAATTACGTATAACAAAAAAGGTACCAAGCAAGAATTACAGTTACAATATTTTTATATACTTTATCCTTTATTATAACTAAGGAAACCTGTCACTATAACTATAAATTCTTCAGCTCCATCAAAGACTCCAGAAGGATATAATACTACCTAAGTACACAGGAAGTGTATTGCAAGCAACTTCCACAATTCTAGAATTGACAGAGACACCTCACTGCTGGACAGTCACCCAAAGTTCTTTTGTACTGTTGGGGCATCCATCTTCAGCCTACAGGCCCATAGCGTCTCACAGACTTTTCCATGAAGCAGGAAATTTGAAAGACAATTCCACCTATATTGGCAGTTTGTCAGTCACTTTCTTCTGTGTCCTGCAGAAGAAATTCATGAAAGGTCCCTTTCATGAATCAGGACCCCCAAAGGACAGTCTCACTAAACTGACGAGGTCAGCACTCATTTCTCCGTGGGTCCTGCATGTCTAGGTCATCAAGCAGTCTAGGCAAGAGCAGTTTCTTGCCCAAATGGTTAACCAGCTCCATAAGGAGCCTCTTCAATGCCCATCATCTTCTTGAAGTAGCTTGGTGCTGCCAGGAGCAGATGTGTCTTACTGTCATGAAAAGTCTTAAGTTCTTAACATTTTAAATGCTGTATTCTGAAGGTCTCTGAAAGATTTGAAGAATACATATTTAACTGAAATCTATCTCTATACATCTAGAATATCTAACATGACTACAAGCTTAACTATTATAGATGATTATCTATTAACCTATATTTTTAATTATACATTATATTTTTAAATGAGCTACACAAACATAATAACTTAATCAAGAGCAGAAATATACATATAAAAATTGATCTTAAATATGTATCAATAAACCAAGATACATACTAATGTAAATTATTCATATCTATATCATATTCCCATTTAAATGTAAACAAACGTCTATAAACAGTATTTGGGAATATGGGTGTAGTTTTCTCCATACTACTTCCTGCTGACTGGGGGTGCCATTCATCAGGTCTTTCATGGTATAGCTTGTGTGCTAGGTTCACCTCAGTCAGTAGTTGGGCAAAGTAATTTTTGAGAGTGTTCATGGCAACCTTTCAGGAGGTAGTGGTCTATCAAACCATATTAGCCTAGAATAAATCCACAGGTTCTCATCCTCTGTGGAAACAAAAGATAAAGCTCTTTTCTAAAACAATATATCCTTATACCCAAATTTTGAAGTCAAGATACCTTTATAATATACATGATGGTTTAGTTTAGCAGCCCATACAATGAAATGTTTCTCTGTACTTAGTTCCTTCACAGTCAAAAAAATTCAAAGAAAACACAATAATATACATAATCTAGACTGTCTATGTATAGTCCATCTTTACATGGATTATTTTCTTTACTCCTTTTAATGTATGATTGCCTGTACTCTGTCTCTTTAAAGATTTTATTTTATTTTTTGAAAACCATTTATTTCTTTTTATCACTCTCTATAGGCTTTTTCTTCTCTCTCCCAAGCCTACATACATTTATCCTACACTGTGACCCATTTAGAGGTCTTTTATGTATGAATCTGTTCTATTGTGAATCTGTAATTCTTTACTGTCCAGGAGCACTTCTTAAAATGCTAAGTGCTTGATAAAAATTTAAGCTGCACAATTACTAGGGTATATAAGTACTCCCTGCTTGCTCCCTCCCAATCTAGCATGGTGGAGCCACTTGTGCCTCTGAGTCACATACACTGCCACATTTCCAGGCACACAGCCAGTCCACATTGCTACCAAACAAGACACAGCACGCTACTCACGAACCCCATCCAAATCTCGATTTCCCTGAAAGAGTTAAAGTTTGTGCTATCAGCGTGGCCCGCAGTCTGGAAGCTGCCATTTTGAAACTGCACAGCTGCTACCACTGAATCAGTAAGATTTCACCAAACTTTCTCCAAGCATATGCCTGTTCCAGGTTCCATGGTGTAAACTGAGGACCAGATTAGAGTGTCCTCTTCCAAATACTAGAAGGAAGTCAGTGAATGTACAGCCTGCACCCCCTGGCCTTAGCCAGCCTCTCTTCAGTCTGTGGGGCAGCAGAGAGAAGGCCAAGGTTGTTCTGTGTGCTGGGTGGGAAAGAGTGCCAACCTGGGGACAGGGAGGGCAAGGTGCACAATCCTGTAAACAGTGCCATAGGCTGTGTGTTTGAAAGATCAAAGGGCAGAGCCAAGGCAGAGGCAAGCTTTGTGTCCATACAAACAAAGAACATTCTAGAAACCTTGGAATTATTAAGAAAAAAAACCACAAAGTCATCCTGCACACTACTTTACTTCTCAGAATCTCTCTTTTTAGTCAGATAAACAGAGTTACAGAGACTGCTCTGCTCATCCCTACCAGGCACTGCTCTCCTTGGTAGCTGGATGTCCGGCACACATGCCACAGAGGCCATGGGAAAGTGGGTACCAAGAAGAATGAGCTTGCCTCTGATCCTGCAGATGCTCAGAGGGAGGAAACCATACACCAAATCCTGGATCCTAGATCTACCAAGGACTCAGGGTACAGATGGTAAAAATAATTGAAACTGTTTTCACTTGAATTTAGTTCAAATTTAATTTAAACAACATCCCCATACAGTGCACATAAACACAGGCACACACACACGTTCTAGTCAGATTTACCTGTATTACACTGTTTCAACATTTGTCCCATGGGGTTCCAAGAGTTTTGTTTGTTTGTTTATTTGTTTGTTTTCCTGATTCTTAATTTCTGAGTCTGAGTAGCAGAGCACCTCCTGGGATTAGTGGACTCTGGTTCAGTGGTGTGATGACTCGTCTTGGTTCTCAACTTGACTACATCTGAAATTAAAACCCAAATGTAGCACATACCTGTGAGGGGATTTTGGTGTGGGAGAATTGTTTGTATTCTGTCAATCATGTTTTAAAAAAACACTGATTGGCCAAGCAGGAGGTGTAGGCGGGAAAAACAGATAGGAAGTGGAAATGATGTAAGGAGAACAGGAGAATTCTGGGGAGGAGGAAGTTGATTCCTCCCACTCCTGCCCAGGCCACCGAAGCAGCAGGATGTGAGCTGCCCCACTGAAAAAGGTACTGAGCCACATGGCTAAAATAGATCAGAAAAATGGGTTAATCAAGATGTGAGAGTTAGCTAATAAGTAGCCTGACCTAATGGACCAATCAGCACTATAACTTACAGAGATTTTTGGTTGATTTTCTCTGGGGCCTGCCGGTTGTGGGGTACCAGACAGGGACAGAAAACACAAACAAGCAGGCCCCCTCATGTTACAGGATTTTGCTTAATTTGATGTGGCGAGGCTCACTTCCAAGACAGATATATAAAGTAGGAAGATGCGTCTTTAATACAGGTATATTGAAGAAGTAAGCCCTGACTCTAATCTAAGCCATGCCGTCTGTTGGAAGCCCATATAAGGGCATGGAAGAAGGAAGTTGTTGATCTTTGCCTCCTTGCTTTCACCTCCCTAACAAGTCCATTCCTTTACCGCATTACAGCCTCCTTCTTCAGGATTCCCACATATACTGAAGACAAGCCCAGACATCCAGCCCTGGGGACTGAGCAGCGTCTGGAGTCTTCAGCCTTCCATTCGCAGGCAGCCACTGTTGGTCTAGCTGAGTCACA